CCACGTGCTGGATTTGCCTTTCTATTCAGATTATAAATTTCTTGAATAAAGCAAATCATATATACTTTTTTATTCTTTTGCAGTGGCAAACACAGAACTAGATACATATAGGTACATATAGCTCCAGAAAAGCCTTCTTTTTTTTTTTCCTGGTACTAGGGATTGAACTCAGGGAACTCCATCACTGAGCCACATATTCAGCCTTTATTTATTTATTTATTTATTTATTTGTATTTTATTTAGAGACAGGGTCTCACTGAGTTGCTTAGCACCTCCCTTTTGCTGAAGCTGGCTTTGAACTCGTGATCCTCCTGCCTCAGCCTCCCAAGCTGTTAGGATTACAGGCATGTGCCACTGTGCCTGGCTAGAAAAACCTTCTTAATCATTAAAATTTGTGGCAACATCTTACAAAATGTTTGATCCTTTAGGAATCTTATTTACTTTGAGATTCTAAAGTACCTCTATAAACTAAAAACCTAATGACGTGAAACAATTATCTGACACTCTTGTAATGATTCAGGACAATTTAGGATTGCAATGAGTGATATAAATGGTGTATATACATTTGTGTAAGTATTTTTTTCCCTCATGTCAGTTTATAGCCTTGGTTCCAATCTCTTTTAAGCTTCACGAATTACAAATCAAAATATGCTAACATAAATAGTGACATTTGGCTTCATTCAAACTTTTTAAATTGAATTTGTCTGTTTGTACTAAGTTTAATTGCTTAAAGCACCAAGTCCAGAAGATGAAAGTTAGCACTGGATTTGTTTTCGTTCTGGGTACTGGCTGAAAACGAATGGTCGAAAAGCACTGTAATATTTGATTTTGAAGAGCTTGGACTAAAGGGATTGCATGTTGCCACTCAGGTCCTCAGCAAGGAAAGGCACACAGCTCTTATTATTTAGTGTGTAATCACGCACCTTGCAGCCACAGCCAGGAGAGCAGAGTGTTTGGTTTTGTTATGCAACAGCAGCCAGGCACACAGCCACTCAGCCACCCTTCACCTGCCCCGCTCAAGAGGGCCCTCAGCTGGGTTTCCTGCTATGTTTTTAACCATTGGACAACTGTGTGAAGTTCTAAGAAACTGTTAAGACTGTGGCCTGGGGATGCAAACCTTTGGGGCACCTCCTTGGGGCAAAGAAAGGAAAAGAACTAGCAGAACAGCTCCAGAGAGGTAAGAAAATCCTTAAAACAAAAGCAAACAATAAACCCAGTTCTTTCTGCAGTTGCCCAGAGAGAGGAAGAAGTCCATGTTGATTCACTGCAGTTCTCCTGGACACTCCTTCCCACTGCAGTTGGGGATGCAAAGGTTTGAGGGTTAAAGTAGGAAGACTGACCCCATAAATTTCCTTAGTATTCCTTCCAAATTCACACTCAATGGTAGGGCAGTGTGTGTTCAATCTTAGGCATACTGTGTAAGTAATGTCCTTAGGAACCATCCTAGTCCCTGTGTACCTTACATAAACTACCAGGAGAGAGATGAGTTGGTTGGTTGCAGGTAACACTTGGCACATACACAGACACACACGTACTTTCTTATTATTACTTCAAAAAAATTCATCTTGGGTCACTTGGCTCACGGCTCATGGTTAGAGATCTTAACTTTGATGACTTGACAATATTGGGTTTATAATATTTTCTGGGTTTTATTTTTTTCAATGTAGAATGTCTTCTACATAGAAATCTATTTCAATTTTTATAAAACGTGATAATAAAGCAATCTCTGAATTTGAATCTTGCTAAATTCAATAAATTACTTGCATCCTTATGCCTTTAATGTTTCTAGGCCAAATTCTGTGATTTCCTCAGAATTACATATTGAATTGTCCCCAATAATGTGTTACATAAATATGTTTATTTTGGATCTAAATACTTTAAATTATAGCCATTAATTATTTTTTAAAAAATGCTTCTAGCTTTTAGACTCACATGCGTTTCTATCTTTGTATTTTTTCCCAACCGTAATGACTGTGTACTGTTGATGTGATGTGGAAGATTAAATTTTAAGGCCAGGCTGACTCCCAGTGGCTCCATTATCTTTTCTGTTTGGCTTATCAGTTAATCCTTGGTGTCCCTGAAATCCAGAATAAAAACTAGAGTTTGAAAATGTACGTGAAATAAAAGGTAGTGGCTTAGAATCTCTTAATGTCCTCGATCCTTGGTCTGGTTAGTAGCTATCATAGTGGACCTTTTTGTTTGCTTGTTTTTATTCTTGAAAGAATGTACTGTATTGGGCAGGGAGATATCGATTCAGCTTGCTATCTGCCTATTAGAAGCAGCAGGAAGTGGGCCCCTTCATCAGTGCTTTGTCTATAGACCCCTGCCCCACTGGGTTAAACTTCAATTGATTTGAAAGAAGAAAGAACGCAGTGCACAGCCTAAAACAGCTACCGTTAGGTGTCCACCCCAGGCATGTGCTAGACACAGTCCATGGCCAAGTTCACTGAATCCAAAACCGTTACAATAGGCATTTCCCCAGTCCTCATATTAAAAAACACAATAAGCCTTCTTGTTTTTGTATTGTTTTGTTTTGTTATTTAAATGTCTGCTTGAAAAGAAAAAGTGGAGATAAAGGATCTAAAAAGGTTTGGAATGTCAAAATAAATGATAAATGTCGACAGCATATTTTTTGAAAGATTCAAAAACTCTTTTTTTAAAAGAGTTCTTAACCTTCATCTAATCAGGGTCCTGTTATCTGCGCTGATCACATAGAGGGCAAGTGAGTCTTCCTAAATTCCAGGATCTACTACATGTCCCGTGGTTCCTATGTGAAACACTGTTTGGGGTCTAGGCTGAAACTCTCCTACTACAAATTTTATCAGCACTTTTTTTTTTTTTTTTTTGGTGGTGGTGGTTCCTGGGAAGAGATGAGAGTAGTGATCCCTGGGAGCCAGGCAAGGCTCGCTCTTCCATGTCCTCATTGCGACCTGGCTCTTAGACTCATCAGTGAGTCACGTCTCAAATCAGAACTGGGAGAAAGGCCATAGCCCCCCTGACCGACCGCTCTGTGTCCAGAAGCAGAATCTTGTGTAGTGATTCCGCTGTGGTCTTCATGCTAGCCCTCTAGCTGCTGAGCTTCTGCTGTATGTGAGGCACAATGCTAGCACCAGCCCGAGGAACTGCCATTCCACTAGTGAGGAAACTGAGGCTGTCTCACAGTCACATGACTATGCTAGGATCATTTTATCCCACTTGCTTTTCACTAAATGTTAATGTTCTACTGGGAACTTCTGCCATACATCGTACCCCCTGGAGACTGATTAACTCACAACAGGGGAAGCTGGGCCTTAGGGTCACTGTTAATGGGAGGTTAGTGGCCTGTGGCTGAGGGGAAATTGCCTGGAAAATGCATTTGCCCTTCAAGCTCAGAACCTCGAAAGCTTGTTCTGGAGACAGCCACGACTGGCTGGGAGAACTTGGAATTTCAGAAATTTTGTGACATTTTGATAATATTTTAAACAAAATTGTATTAAAATAGAATTAAGTAAACTATATTTAAAACTGTAAATAAATACAAAAAACTCATCTCTTCCTAAATATTTTATCATTTCCTGTGCTCTTGAGGTTATTACATCTGTTGTATCTGTGTGTGAGAAATACTAAATGATGGGTACCACTCTGCACCTTTCCAAGTCTGCATTCAGCGTCTCAACATGCTAGCTTGACACCAGCCCTGGCAGGAACATTTACACCACCCAAACTTGACAAATGCTATGAATCAGTCAGGACTTAATTTATTATTTTGTTGCTTGTCTACAATTAAGAACACCATGAAGAAAATGTTTGTCAATGGCCATTACATGAAAAGTTCCTTGAGGAAATTTTTCTTCTAGTATTCAATCACAATTTTTAGTATCCAATTCAAAAAATATGCACACATCATTAACAAACAGCTGAAATGAAATTCCCACTTATGTTCATTGTTTCACCTTCCGCTAACCTTGCGAACTTAAATGTAAATGTCAACCCACACAGATCTGCACGTCTTTATCATTTGTAACCATAGTTAATGATGGATAGAAGAGTCTAGCAAAACTCACTGAAATCATTCTTGTGTGAATAAGTGATCTAGTCAGCCTTGGTGGTGCATGCCTGTAATCCCAGCAACTTGGCTGGATCAGGAGGCTTGCAAATTCAAGGCCAGGCTTGGCATCTCACTGAGATCCTGTCTCAAAATTAAAAAAATAAAATAAAAAAGGCTACAGGTGAAGCTCAGTGGAAGAGTGCCCCTGAGTTCATTTCCCAGTACTGCAAAAAAATGAAAGAAAGAAAGAAGAGAAAGTCAGTGGTATATATGGGATGTTTTATTTTTTAAAGTATTGTTATTATAATGTTTATACTGTGCACTAAACATCTTTTATTTATAATAAGCATTTTTTTTTTCCGGAGAATCAGTTGTTAAACATTTGCCCTCATAAGCACTGCCTGGAAGGTATAACTGGTTTGCAAACTTGGCACCTGCCTAAATCATAGAGTAAAAACCATGCCTCCCCAGAAACAATGGCACCATTTTGAATACAGTTGAAATACAAACAAACTTTTTGCCCCATTGTTTAAATAGGGAAGCTAAAAAGTATACTGACTACTAGTATTGAATTTTCCACTCCTGTCCACTGGCAAGAATAAATTCTGTTGAGAAATCTTCAAATTACCCCGGAGCAGGTTGCAGATAAGGCATGCATTTTGTTATGGTACATATGGCAGAGTGCTGATTTTTCTAATGAAGATTATAGGATCCTTTTGCAACTATCTCTGGTTTAACCAGTAAAACTCCCACCCATACCAAGAACGCAAGGTGATGCACTTTACGTGTTAGTATGTACAGCTAAGAAAACATTAAGGAATTTAAAATAAGGAATTTAAGCCCATCTCATATTTACTCAGTTGAGTAAATGAAAAGTAGGCTAAAGCTTATCAGTTTCTAGTTTTGTTTTACTTCTAGCCTGAAATACTCTCTAGAAATACTCCTGTGAGCTGTGGATTGGCATGTACTTCTTTTATGCTCTGTTCCTTAAGTCTACTTTAATTGATTTTGGATTGTTTCCACAAACTATGTTTCCGCATTACATTCTGCACTGAAGAGGGTGGGGCTATTTTGTTGATTTTGGCTTACAAGAAGTGAACTTTCTTTGACCTGAAAAATTTTGAGAAATTCCCTCCTTCTCAGCTTTTCCTTGTGGAAATCTAATATCTGTTCATTAAAAAAAATAAAATGAATGAATGAATGAATGAACAACTGAGAATCCTTTCAGTATTTCTGGAAAATGGCTTCCCTTTTGTGGGAATTGAGTGCTTAAGAGGAAGAGTTAAAAATACTCCCTGGTGCAGTGGTTCAGGCCTGTAATCTCAGCAGCTTGAGAGGCTGAGACAGGAGGATCCAAGTTCAAAGCCAGCCTCAGCAACAGCAAGGTGCTAAGCAACTCAGTGAGACCCTATCCTTAAAAAAAAAAAAAAATTAGGGCTAGGGATGTGGCTCAGTGGTTGAGTGCCCCTGAGTTCAATCCCCAGTACAGGGGGAAAAAAACAGGTAAATGGATGATGTTGGAGAAGATAATGCTAAGTGAACTTAGCCAATCCCAAAAAAAACAAATGCCGAATGTTTTCTCTGATATAAGGAGGCTGACTCATAGTGGGGTAGGGAAGGTGAGCATGAGGGGAATAGATGAATTCTAGATAGGGAAGAGGGGTGGGAGAGGAAGGGAGGAGGCAGGGGATTAGCAAGGATGGTGGAATGTGATGGAAATCATTATCCAAAGTACATGTATGAAGACTCGAATTGGGTGTCAACATACTTTATATATAAACAGAGATATGAAAATTTGTGGTATATGTGTAATAAGAATTGTCATGCAAAAAAGAACTACATGTATAAAGGTATGAATTGGCGTGAACATACTCTATATACAAAGATAGGAAAAATTTTACTCTGTATGTGTAATAAGAATTGTAATGCATTCCGATGTTGTGTATTTAAAAAAAATAAATTCAATAAAACTAAAAAAAATTAAAAAATTAAAAAATCACTTCCAGGCTCACTCAGTTGCCTTTAGCAAAAAATTCAATGAAACTAAAAAAAAAAAATTGGTTATAGTTGATGCAGATTTGAAGAGTCACCTAATGTAGATCCATCATGTCTCCCAAGTTCTCAGTTCCCTTAGCACAGTAGACGATTGC